AAAAAAAAAACAATAATATAAAGATATTAATCAGCTAATCTTCATAGTGTTGATTTGTTTAACTTAGTTTAGAAACTGTAAACAGTTATCCTGGTTTAGAAAAATAACATATAAAGAACCTTGCATATAAATTTATTTTTCTTACATAGTTTTTGAAACAGACATAGATTTGTCCTGTAGGCTTTGTAGTCTTGCACTAAATGTAAACAAGTAATAAAATGTGAATTATCTTAACTGAAGTTTGTCCTTATCTCTTTGACCTCAGCCAGTATTGCTGTGTGTTTACATAACTTCAAACAGATGCTTAATTTAATTAAATAGGTCACTGTTGTTGGAAAGTATAGCTAAAATTAAAACTCACTCTCACATTACGACCGGAGGTGTAACCTGCATCCCTGAGTCATCTACCTATTCTATTCTAATTTCTCACTCTTCTTTCTTTTTATTTCTTTTTTTATTTTATTTTTTCTGATTAGAAGAGAAGCCAAAGTTCAAGTGAGTATGTGTGGTCCTACTACTACTACGTTAATCTTCTGTGTTATTTTTTATTCTTTATTTATAATATTTAATTTCTTATTGTGTCTTTCAACAGACCATCTGCCCCAAAGATCCCTGATGGCGAGAAAGTGGACTTTGACGTGCGTACTCACAATTTCCATTATTTAAAAAAACTATTTACATAAAAACACTATTATAAAATATTTCCCAAGTGATCACACTTGGGAAATACCATGCATTTGACCTAATCGCTGCAAAACAGGGCTACAATTAAAATAAATATCTTCTTTTAAATAATATTTAATAAACAAATCAGTGGGTGAAAAAAATCTGGGTTTTAGGAAAATCGTTACACCATGGAATAAATCTTTATATAAAATATCAAGAAGAAAAAAACATAATTTAACTGATATATCAAAGTCTAATTTAAATAATGAAAATCCTTCCTTGTGATACCATCTAAAGTTTCAGTCCTGCTCTGGGCAATACGTCTGCAAATTTTTTGTCATGATGTGATCAATCAAAAGACGGCTACATGCAGCTTTTCAATGCATCCCAAACATCCTGGAGAAATAAAATAAATAAGTTGAGCTAATATTTAGTCTTATCTAGAAATATGGTTTAAGATTTGGAACTGTTCTTCCAATAGCTCTACAGTTAGCATAGCAATAATACCTAAAATTATAAAAGCAAGTTAGGATATTGATAGTAGCTATAGAATAAGTACCTATAAAGATATATGTTTAGATTCTGCTCTATAAAATACAAGAACACAATTGTTAAAAAGAAATACAAAAAAAAAGAAAAGTTACGATCTCAGGGATATAATAGTACTCTTAAATTATAGTAAGAATTAATTGTTATGTTTTATTGCATGGATTCGAATGTAAATGTTGTGTATAATTCTACAATAAAAAAGAGATAATTATAATATTTTGAAGCACTTATTCATCATTATTGATTGTTGTTGTTGTTGTTTTTTGCATAATCTCTATTGATTAAAATAACAAAAAAATAGCTAATGAAACATTTAAGCAAAATAGGACAAATTAATCAACTTAAGAACTGCTTACAGTAAATTTACATATTTTATTTTTTACTTTCCTTTGTACTGCTATTAGTTTTTTTATTCATAATATTGATTGAAATATGTGTTTTCTTGCTCTGTCCATCATTTTTATATAATTAGGCTTTTTAAGGTCCTAAACCTTTAATATCTGTATCATTATTAATACAAACAAAGAAATAACATTTGAAAAAAGTTTATTTGCTCATCATTGTATATAAAGTTTTCATACAGAATAAAAGGATAATAATTTTTATTTTAAATACCAGTGAATTCTAATTCTAGATTTCTGGACCAGAGTTTTCTAAAGTATTTATTCAAAAGTTACGGGCTATGACTTTAAGATTACAGAAATGGTTTGCTGTGAGTGATCTCTTGTATTTGTTTTCTATATTTTTGGTTGCCTTTTTATCTATTTATTATTGACAACAACCTGCCTTATGTTCAGCTGCAGGTCCTTCCTGACAAATCTTTTGCGTTCTTCACAGGACATTCAGAAGAAACGTCAGAACAAGGATCTGGTTGAGCTTCAGTCACTGATCGATGCTCACTTTGAGTGCAGGAAGAAAGAGGAGGAGGAACTCATTGCTCTCAAAGAAAGAATTGTGAGATTTCTATAAGAATAAAACAAGTTGTGCAGTTATGCTGTTCACTTGGAGTGAAACTGTTGCATTTGACCCATTACTGCTAGAGGTCATAGTGTTGCTGGTATGTTTGTTGGTTTATCTTATCAGGAAAAGCGACGTGCAGAGCGAGCTGAACAGCAAAGGATTCGGGCTGAGAAGGATAAAGAGCGACAGGCGCGGCGTGAGGTACAAAAAACTATTAATGTGAAATTTGAGCATTTTACTTAAGGAAGGAAAAAGGAAGTTCTCATTGGAAGGAATCCATCTAATCAGGTTCAGTTCTGGCCTCTTCTGGCCTAGAGATGTTTGCACATATTTAATAAATCTATTAACAGCCGAGGTGGGTAGAAGGTTTTTGTTGGAAATATTACTTAATTTATACTTCTTGCTTCTTTTATTAACCATTTACCAGCTTGAGAGGATGAGAAAAGAGGAGGCCGATGCTCAGAGGAAGGCTGACGATGGTGCCAAAAAGAAGATAGCGCTCACCAATATGGGATCAGGCTTCAGCAGCCACCTGCAGAGGGTATTTAATTATTTCATTTGGTCTTTATCACTGATACAGATTTTTGTTCAATCCCATCAAGCCGATTCTAATACTCTTCTTTCTTTTCAAGATTGATGCAAAGAGAGGCAAGAAACAGACTGAGAGGGAAAAGAAGAAGAAGGTTTTAGCAGAGAGAATCAAACCACTGAGCATTGACAGCCTCACAGACGACCAGCTGAGGTAAAATGATCCAACCTTTAACATTTGCTGCCGTGTTGTTTTATTTCTTTTTAAACAAGCACAATTTCGAATTCATTTTTAGCAGATAAATCTGAGTGTGCTAATTACTTCTCAGGATAAATAAGCAGTTGTGTTAAAAATATAAGCCATTAATCTGGATAATCATCATTATTCATAGAAAAAGTATTTTGTTATGGTAAACAAGATACTAGCCTATGAAGCTGAGTAACATTTTAGTAAGATTGTTAAAAAATATAAAAATAAATAATAACAAAAATAATAATAACAAAATGTTTAAAAACATAGAATATAAAAATGGATGTGATTTATTAGTTAAAGAGACATCAAACAGACATTTAAACTAAATAATTCAACATGATTATTATCATGGATTCAACATTTAGCAAAACTGATAATACTGTAAGTGTAAGCAGTGCAGAGCTAAGTGTAGCTAAGATAAAGCCTAATTCTTTACTATAGAAACCCAAGTCAAAATAGCGAGGGGAGCTAAACGTCACTGCACTGATAAAAGAAATTGCTGATCGATCCCAAACACAGAAAATAATCCACGACACCGTGTATTTGTGTCTTTTAGGGAAAAGGCCAATGAGCTGTACGACTGGCTGACCAACCTGGAGGCAATCAAATACGACCACTGTGAGATGCTCAAGAGACAAAGATATGAGGTGAGTGATGAAAAAACACCAACTATTTCTGCTTAAAAAAAATAAAAATAGCAAGTCAAAGTTAAGATTTGAAAATTAAGGAAATCTCAAAGTAGTTATGAGGTAAATTTTTTGCAGTAGTTATATTGTGCTGCAGTGGAGGTACAAATATGGCATATATGCCTATTTTACAATTCTCCACCTTGGTAACTAGGATTAGAATAGATTTAATCTCAAAACAACAATAAATTTGTAAATTGAGGAATAGAAATATAGGAAGTATGTTTCACAATATTTTTTTTCTACTTTCAAAGGCTATGATTTTAACTTAAGCAGGGTGAAAGGTTTCTTTATCTGCTTAACTAGAAGTTGTTTCTTTCAGGTCATCTCTCTCAGAAACCGCATCGATGAGCTGCAGAAACAGTAAGTAACAAAGACAAAGACTAAAAGACAAACCAGGAGCAGTATAACATATAATTCACACGACATACATTTACACTAAACACTGGGTTCCTGTACAGTTTGAAATAAACCTGACCCAGACTTTATTCCCTGTCCCTTAACTTGTCGGATCCATCCGTCCATCCATCAGTCCATCAATCAATGCATCCATCATCCATCCATCCGTCCATCTATCTATCTATCTATCTATCTATCTATCTATCTATCTATCTATCTATCCATTGATCCTTCCATCCATCCGTCATCCATCCATCCATCCAACCACCCATCCATCTATCCAGCCATCTATCCAGCCATCATCCATCCATCCATCCATCCGTCCATCCATCCATCCATCCATCCGTCTGTCCGTCCATCCATCCATCCATCCATCCATCCATGAATGGTTTACATCTCATCACTTATCAGCAGAGGGCGCTGCTCCTCTAAGGATAATTGGTTCAACCACATCTCTCTACCGTTTTGTATTCTAGTCCCCACCATTCTATTTAGTTTTGAATTTTTTGTTGCTCTTTGCGTCCTGCAGCAGCAAGAAGGGAGCCGCCTCGCGCCGCAGGAAGTGAGCATCGATCCTCCAAAGGACAGCAGCTCAGACTCTGGGGCGACAGCTTCAACTGGATGTCTTAGTTCCTGCTTAAATGCAGTGGTTTCAGCATAAGAATAGCTTCAATAAATAAAGTGTTTTAAAAGAATAATGTCAATATTTTTGTTTAAGAAATACTATTCTCTTTGTTCACCTTAACTGATGTGGTTCGTGAGAATTGAAAAGTCACTTTAATAAAGGCATGAAAGACATAATAATATAAATAAGAGAAACATGTTTTCTATTATTTATGCTTCTCATTTCTTTTTCTAAATACATTCATTTTTTTACATTTTGGGACAACTGTACAATTTTAGAACAACACAGAGCCACAGAGAAGACACCCATGCATGCATACTATTGCTTCAACAATTGTAAAGCTCAGAAATAATAATTATAAATAAAATAAAACTTTCGGTCTTTAAATATTTATTACATTTAAGTCTTCTTTACAAAAGCTTTAGGTGATCCTGCCATGGTCACTCTTAAACATTATGGTCAAAGCTGGTGTTGTCCGTATTAAGCCTAGCCTCACTACGTCATACAGAGATTTTATTTAAGTTAAAAAAAAAGCTTAAACACCACACAGCTGGCTTATAAAAACACTGCAGCCATACAACAAGCAAACACTGTAAATAATGTTTCATAAGTTGGTTGGAAATGAATGGGCACAATGAATTATAATGTTGCTCTAGAAAGAGCTGGAAATTATAGATATATTCTTCAGTTTTTCGTTTAAGTCTAAGAACTTTTTAAAAATCAAAAATAATGAAGAAAACAGGAATACAGTCAAATGTGGTGGAAGCCATGGTTGTGAAAACAAGTCACAGTATAAATATGTAGCTATTTATCAAGGTTTCATCAGCTTTTAGATTTTATACATACATTGACACCAATACTTTTATGGTGTTTTTTACTGCAGCGTGAATATTTAGGTGTATTAATGGTCCTCAGTTCTAATCAGCAGAAATCTTGTGAAAAAAAACTTTACCAAGACTCCTGGATTATTAAAAACAGACAGCAGAATTTCTTTGTAAGCTAAAAAAAAAAAGTCCAGGCAGACCCATTGCATCCACAAGAAAAGGAGTCTATTTAAGTAGCTTAATTCAGAAATCAGGAATAATTTAGTGTTCTCCTCCTAAAAAATGGAGGCAATCTTTCTGTCCATGCCGAAAAGGATGTTCTGTTGACTCCATCAGGATGAGATTGGCTCATAGATGCTGCTGGGATCAGCAGATGAAGAAGAGACGCCACAGCTGCTGTGAGGGGATTCAGTGCCTTGGGGGACAACGCTGTCTCCAACGGGGGCCGCTGCTTGATCTGTGCTAATGCGTTCCACGATGCTAGACAAGCAGTCCAAACTGGAAATGAGCGATGTTTTGCTGTTCTTGCAACCTTCAGACAAAAATTTAAAAACCCATAGTTAAAATCAAGGAATTAGTTTAAAATTAATTAAATTAAAATATACATTGATGTATCTGATCCTAAGGCAAGCATTTGTTTTAAAACTGACTTTTCAACCTCTAATATTGAGTAATTTCACATGTTCACCTGTCGTTCTTTTCATTTAGATTTTTTCTCCTAATGTAATGGTATTTAAATATTTAGATTTGAATCCTGTTACGAAACTATGAAGTGTAGCTAATGTAACAATAAAAGGCTAATTGATCTAGAGTGATCTGTAAACAAAAGTTGTTGACGTGGCTGTAATCCCTCATAAGCAAGCATGGGGGACAGTGGAGAGGAACTATTCCTTCATGCAGGTGTTGGTAGCAAAAACTAAAATGTATGCTTTTTTAATTATTTCTCAGTTTATATACTTGTAACCTAGCAGCAGTAACGTTTTGGCTAAGAATAAATGCCTTCCACTTATCTAGTCTCTGGCTCTTTAAGTAAGTGGACTTCAAAGCTTTCAGTCATTCACACAACAATTATGGCAAACTGCTGTGGCCCCTATATCCACCATCAGTAGACAACAACTGAGACTGAAGGAGCTGGGGTTCAAACCAGCAACCCTCCAATATGGTGAAGAACCACTGCATCCTACGCTACCGTCAACATGAGCTGGAGATCCAGGAAACAATGACAGAAAGCTGATTAAAAAAAAATTGCTATGCACTCAGTGGCAAATCAGTCATTTTAACTATATAACTTATGCTGTAAAATATCAACATGCAGAATTTAATCTACCTTCTAACTATCAATCTGTTGTCTTCTTATTTGCGACCTGGTAGTGGGGATTAAAGGGGAACCAAGACTCTGGGGATCCCAAGCTCTCAGAAGGTAAATATAAACATTACAACAAACTCTGGGTTAGCTGCAGAGCCTTCTCCAAGTTACACGTAATGCATCTCCCACCCAAACTCCTCGGTTTGTAGAGAATAAACCTCACACCTAGAGAATCAAACCTCTGTTTTTCTCTGCAGACAATGTCCTCTGACTTATAGCAGCACTTATCCGAATTAAGTTTAATTAAGTTTAAAACACTGGAGCAGAGTGAAAGTCTTTATTTTGAGGACAACTTCATTTGCAAAAAAGGGGAAGATGAAAACACAGGTTTCCCAAAACAGACTCCTTTCTCTCCAAAATTCTGCCTCAGGATCTTATCTATGGACACCATCACAAGGATTGGGAACGTAAGACAACCATGTTTGAGTTCAACCTGGACTGTTACAGTAACTGGCTCAACTTTGGGCTAAGTATCTTGAATCGCCTCATTCTTTGGTTTAT